TTATACAATGCTACTTAAAAAAGGCAACTAAAATTAACCAGTCACAGATTAGCTGTACTTATACATCAGGCTTAGTATAAATACCGCAAGTGAATTAATTACGTCATTCTTTTGCTAGCTTCTACCTTGATAACATCTTCGCGCTGCTTCGCTTCTTAAATTCCTACGTCATTTTTTTCAAAAAAAAAAAAAAATCTGAAATGTTTCAGATTTTAAATTACGTCCAAAGGGGCGTTTTTTAACATTTTGTGTGTTACCTTTCTTTATTAAATATCATGTTCCTCGCACTTAAACCATAAGATCCAGTGCAACAGCAATATCGCAAAATAGTTTTAAAACGAGCATATCTTTAGAATTTCCGATACAGAGACTCACGCGCTGGAGATAAAAATGTTTTTTCTGCACAACGTTGCCATTGCTCGCTTTGAAATCCTTCAGTTTGTTAATCAAAAATTCGTCAAAGTTTTAAAAAATAGGAAATCGATCATAAAACAAATTTCAAATTTCAAATTTGGTCTTCCACATGCTCATATTCGTTGGAGGATTACGTTATTCAAAATTCGATGACTCTATGTACCGTTGTTTTATCACAATACGAGAAATATACATACATTTATGCAGATTTTTCATTATTTAATTTCTTCAAATATAATGCAGGACTCTAACATTTGTGGCAACAGTTTGAAAAGTGAACCGACATTTATCCGTCCGACGCAAAATGCCAAAACGAAACTAATAGTCCTTCGGGATTCAAATCCCTTTGGACTAAAAAAAAAAAAAAAAAAAAAAAAAAAAATGTTCATAGAAATATATCACATTTAATTATGATTGAATAAATTTCTGCCAAACTAATTGGATATGATTGGTGATTTGTCGGGATCCCGTTTCGTCATCTTCGTCTCGTCTTGCGACTCTGCCATCATGACAACGCATCAAAATTATTACATATATATATATATATAATATTAAAAATATACTAAAAATATTGAACCACTAAATTTCTCTTTCGTGTTAGGAAATAATTTAAATCACGGAACATTTTTAAGTCAAAATGGCTGAATTATATATATACGTATGTCGCATATATCCATATATGGTGAGAACAACAAGAAACAAGAAATGTCTGAACCAAAAAAATTTAAAAAGTCGTGAAAGGTACACTTTATGTGGAGGTGAATCCTTTGTTAAAAGACATTCTTGTCTAAAGTGTCATATGAAGAGGCGCTTGTAAAACTATATGAGAAAATATGCATACCTCTAAATAAAGAAATATAGATGCATTATCTACCTATAAGCGATATAATTAATTGATTGAATTGTACTTCATAAATATACAAATAGCACAATATTGTGGAACGCATTTAACATGGGGATTAAAAATATCATACGTATACTTTGGTTCAGCTTTCACATATGTATTCTTTGATTCGGTGGCTAACAGCTATTGCTGATAATTTGTTTATTAAAGGGAACATACAGCAAACAAACGGCTTTAATAAGGCATTTTGTCAGAACCTTTCCTCGAAATAAACTTCAGAAAATGAGATGTTCTTGTATCTTATGTCATGTTTCTCCAAGAAAATATAAAATGGATTTTGGTTTTGTGTTACAATATTTCAAAAATGATATATAGCTGTCACATCTGGGGTTAAAGAATGTCCATTCTAATTTTCCTTCATTTAAATTAAAATGAAAATTTCTTCCTAAACTGAAGTTCGATTCTTTTGCAGCTGACTTTTTCTTATACTGCATTTAGACTGACTTGCTGTTATACTGAGGAAAAATTATTAAAGGGAACATATAGCAAACAAACGGCTTTAATAAGGCAGAACCTTTCATCGAAATAAACTTTAGAAAATGAGATTAGAATACTCTGTTCTTGATCTTATGTCATGTTTCTCCAAGAAAGTATAAAATGGATTTTGGTTTTGTGATACGATATTTAAAAAATGATATATAGCTGTCACATCTGAGGTTAAAGAATGTCCATTCTAATTCTTCTTCATTTAAATTAAAATGAAAATTTCTTCCTAAACTAAAGTTTGATTCTTTTGCAGCTGACTTTTTCTTACACTGCATTTAGACTGACTTGCTGTTTATAACTGAGGAAAATTATTAAAGGGAACATACAGCAAACAAACGGCTTTAATAAGGCATTTTGTCAGAACCTTTCATCGAAATAAACTTCAGAAAATGAGATTAGAATACTCTGCTCTTGTATCTTATGTCATGTTTCTCCAAGAAAGTATAAAATGGATTTTGGTTTTGTGATACGATATTTCAAAAATGATATATAGCTGTCACATCTGAGGTTAAAGAATGTCCATTCTAATTTTTCTTCATTTAAATTAAAATGAAAATTTCTTCCTAAACTGAAGTTTGATTCTTTTGCAGCTTACTTTTTCTTACACTGCATTTAGACTGACTTGCTGTTTATAACTGAGGAAAATTAATTAAGAATGTCAAAGTTTGGTGTGTTAATGTTCTTTTTTCATAAGGACAGAGTTAATCGAAAGAAGTGATTCCAATCTGAGAACATGTTACATTTCTGCCTTTAAACATTAGCGCAATAATAGCAGATAAATCTAGCATACCCATTTTTGCCATCATTTAAATTAGTGCCATTGCCGATGGGTTGGACTTCTGCATGTTGGTCCGTGGAAGGTATTTTATTTTACTTCTGTTACATAAAGAAAAACCATCGGAGGTATTCCTCTATCCATCACCCTTGGAACGGGCTCTCTAGGGGCTATAGGCTCCCTCCCTCTGGAGTGCAAACACCATGGGCAAGTATAGACTGAAGAAACATTCAATTTCAATAAGGTAACGGCTCCATAACATCAGTGGAGATCGACATATGACTAAAGCCATAGCCAGGCTTAGAACTGGCAGACACAGAGGACTGAAAATTGACAGATATGGTAGAAAAGCCTACAGAAACTGTGGTAACTGCCCAGACACAGAAAATAGGCTTCATCATAGATAGGATAACATCAACCAGTTTCGTTCGATCCTTCGATAGTACCCTTCGTATCACTCCATGAAAGAACCTTTCAGTATTTCAGTGGATAAAGTCATTGAATATAGATAGCTTAATCCAGGCTGAAATTAAGACTTTTTAATCATTTTTTAATTAAGGATAATTAAACATTATCCTTAATTAAAAAATATTTCTTTATTTAAAAGTAAAAGGCTGAATATTTCTTGCTTTAGTCTTTACAAGTTAGTGAAAATGTCTAGCATGAACCCAAAGAGTACACAATAAAGTATAATTAAGTAGCACAAATTTTAAAAATCACTGGAGTCCTCCTTACGTAAAATCTCTGAAGTTTCGCTTTTCATATATCTAATCATTACAAGCTGAGGAGAGATTTGCTGTATGAAAATTTAGATTGCAGTCTAACACCTCAAAGAAGTACTCATCGTTCAAAAAATTTTAAAATATGGAAACCACACAATTAATCTGCTCCTCTTCTAAAGTACAAAATAGCTACTGCTGCCAACTCATGAAAGTAAATTTTTACGGTTGAGTAAAATTAAAACTCAGTTAAAAAAGAATTTAAGTTTAAGAAGCCATGTTTATTTTTGAACTTATTTTTTTAAAAATCTAATAAGGTATAAACAGAAAAATAACAAAATTTAAAAGAAATGTATTATCATTTGAATAAAATTAGAAACAGAAATAAAGACAGAAGCTTTCAAACTATATGCCACTACCAAGAGAAAGATTTTGTTGCTGTCAACAACTCATAGTCCATTTAGAGAAAGGTATATTTTAATTGTATGCACGTGTGCTGTGACATATGAATTTCAGTCAAATCAGAGATAAATGCTGAAATAAATGAAAATGAATAAATGGAAAAAAAAAAAAAAAAAATCTGAAATGTTTCAGATTTTAAATTACGTCCAAAGGGGCGTTTTTTAACATTTTGTGTGTTACCTTTCTTTATTAAATATCATGTTCCTCGCACTAAAACCATAAGATCCAGTTGCAACAGCAATATCGCAAAATAGTTTTAAAACGAGCATATCTTTAGAATTTCCGATACAGAGACTCACGCGCTGGAGATAAAAAATGTTTTTCTGCACAACGTTGCCATTGCTCGCTTTGAAATCCTTGAGTTGTTAATCAAAAATTCGTCAAAGTTTTAAAAAATAGGAAATCGATCATAAAACAAATTTCAAATTTCAAATTTGGTCTTCCACATGCTCATATTCGTTGGAGGATTACGTTATTCAAAATTCGATGACTCTATGTACCGTTGTTTATTTTTTTATCACAATACGAAAATATACATACATTTATGCAGATTTTTCATTATTTAATTTCTTCAAATATAATGCAGGACTCTAACATTTTGTGGCAACAGTTTGAAAAGTGAACCGACATTTATGAGTCCGACGCAAAATGCCAAAACGAAACTAATAGTCCTTCGGGATTCAAATCCCTTTGGACTAAAAACAACACAGAATTATAAAAGTTTGTCGAACTTCTAAGTAATGTTTTAGTTGAATATTTTCAAAGCTGTATAGTAAGGATATTCGTATTTATAATGTATATTAATGGGGAAAATATTCCCGATTACATTTCAAGCAGTCAAAATATTTAAAACTTTGAATGATCTAATCTATAATTAATATTTTTATAAATCTCGTCTATTTTTCAAAACAATTAATAATACAGATTGCATATATCACATTCGTGTAATTCTCAAAACGAGATGAATCTTTTGAAATTATTAAGAGTTAAAAATATTACATTCTCTAACTAGCTTCTTGAATACATAGAATAATAATAATTGCAGTGAAAATTATGCTTATGAGTTGTGACTATTTAGAATATATTTTAATTGGCATGCTGTATACCTACAATTTATTCAGCTTAAATCTAATTTTAAAAGAAATGCATATCATTGTATTACTATATCCTTTTTTTAATGCAATACTTTAATCTTTTTTAAATCTATACTTAATGAAATCAAATTGTATTCTTATAACAGACACAGAGCTATCAATATTTTTCTTCAAATCTACAAAGAAATGTGGCTAGAAGAAGAAAACACTGGGCAAGAACAACTCATTGAGAATCTCACGGTGAGTAGAACAAAACTGTATAATGCAACTACTTCCTAAGCTAAAGCAGAAAGCGTTAAACTTGTAAGCAAAAAGAATCCTCTCATGAATTATATAACTAAAGTTTCCTCAAGAACGTGGAATGGTCATTTGAAATCTTCCCGCCGTAATAGATTGGTGGGGGTCTAATTTTTGTTTTTGTCTGGCAAAAACCATATTTGTTAGGGATAGGGCATTCAAATCCTCAAATTCCAAGGATCTTAAAAACGGAAACATTTGTTATAGTTTCAATGTATTTATTGCCAGTATGTGTGTGTATCTGAGTTACGCTTTGAAACAATACTGTCCTGTTTAAATTTACTTTGATTGAACAAATTTATCCTAAAATATCAAAACGCGGAAAAGTTGCATTATATTTTTTTCTAATTATGTTCAGAAAAACGGCAAATTAAGTTAGAGTCTCAAATATGTACTTTATAATTGAGATACAATACAATAACACGCCGAACAAGTATTAATTTAGAAATCAAACTACAAAAATCAGCGTTAAATTTTCAAATTTTCACAGGATATGGTTTTACCGAACCATCGAAACTAGTCCTGTGAAAATTATAGCCGATAGTTAAAAAGATATAGCCGATAAGATATAGCCTGTTTTAAAAGATATAGCTGATAAGATATAGCCTGTTTAAAAAGATATAGCCGATAGTTTCTGATGGTTCGGTAAAACCATCGAAACTAGTCCTGTGAAAATTTGAAATAATAACCCTGACTTTTGTTGTTTGATTTCTAAATTAATGTACTTTATACTCTAAAATTCATTAATGTCTTATTAGTAACTGTAGACGAATTTCTAAAAACAGTGTTCTTAAATTTTTTTTCATTAAAGGCAGGTTCGAATTTTGCTTTAATTAAAATGTTTTAATACTAAGCAACTTTCTAATTTATTTTTTGTTATTATTATCCTGAAATGAAGAGATCGAGAGATTAGAGAGCCTTTTAAGATACAAATTAGAAAAAAATTTGGGATTTGTCCCTTAACGATTATATATACATAATTTACTAATCTCTATAAAGAAATGTATTTGCAAGAGGGCAAAATTTACAAACATTTTCTGAAATATATTGTTACGTTACTTCTCTTTCTTCTTCTGACACCAGTTGTTACGTTATTTTCTCCTTCACATTCGTACGGGGTTTGTAGATTTGGAGTGAATAACGACGACACTTTATGAAGTATCGAAACACACTTTATTTGTCAGTATTGTCAGGACAGCTCCAAAACACGTTTTACAGTCGTCGAAGATCTACTATAAACACGCTGACACGATCAGCGACACAGCCTTCAAGTTATCAGGCTATCATGGTGGAGATAGCTTCCTCCAAAGCACCCGACTCTGCTTTCTGGAGTTTCCGGAGTACAGCTCCCGACTCAGCTTGGTCGTTCTCGGAACTCCACTTACTCTCGAGACTCTTCACGCTACAACTCGCGATACACTCGAGGACACACGAGCACAGCTCCCGGCTCTTCGGTTCAGTCGTTTCCGGAGCTCAAAACGCTCACTCAACGATGCACTAACCGCGATACACTACGAGACTCCTTCATTGAACTCGACGACCCACTCGGCACTCGCTGCCCGGCTGTCAACTCGATCGACTCTGCATGGATTGACTCGCTAGACGAGACACACTCACTCGATAAGAGATGCACACTCGATGAAAGACATACACTAGCTGACTGCGGACCAGCAGTGTTTATATAGCTTTCGGCTTGTATTCGGGAACATTCTGGACTAAACCGGTAAGAATTCGTTCCAGAAGGTTCTCCAACTGTCCATGGTGTTTCGCCAATTTTATCGCCAAATGGGCGATTTCTCGCCAAATCTGGCAACCCCGCCCTCTTTACTATTTTATGGCAACCCTAAAAACTGCTTTGCGGGGAAGCCATCTCACCGCGCCTTTACATTTCGTAACAATATGTTTTAACCAATGGATTTTTAAAGTTTGTTAAAACTACGATACAAATTTGGTTCATAAAGTGCGCTTATGAATTTTCAGAGTGGTTTTTTAAGTCCTGTTTAGCACGTAGTAGCCTTTTCTTCAGTACAGAGAAGCCGAAATCTCCCGTGTAGTATAATAAATAAAGTGTTTGTAATTATATCAATGTCAATATGAAATAAAGTAGTAGAATATTCAGTGTGAGAGTCAAAAATAATTTCTTAGCATTTTAAGCATGTGTTTACAACATATGTAGTTGAAAATGTAACAGCGAATTCATCGTGTAGGGGAAAAGTGAATAAAAGAAGTTGTAAGATTCGTACCTGTGTACTTTTAAGTTAAAAGTTGAAGAATCGTAACTGATAAGCGAATAATCGCTTGAGTTCGTGAGACAGAGAGCAAAACGTAAGAAGGGTAAAATTACCCCTTATTATTCCAATAAATTTTGACAGATGACTCATTTCTTAGAGTTACAATAAAGCCTCCACTCGGGCTTGAACTTAGGAAACAAAAAACTAAAACTTAACTAATCTTAAATAAAAAGATATAGTCGAAGCTATCAAAATTCCAACAGAGTTGGCCCCTTGACGCGAATTAAAGGCGAAGCTGTCAAGGGCCTAAAGTACGGCCGTGCGTAATAATAGCTTAAAAGAGAGAGTAGCCTGAAAAGGCAAACGCGCGCTAGTCAGAATCACTGGCTCTCTGACGAAGTCAATAGAACTTCACAGTTAAATACTTCTCATTTGCATTCAAACGCGATTCTAAAAATCTGATGTGTACATCACATGACCTCCTAGTACGGAATATTAAATTATACGCATTTTTTCTTGCATTTCATTTAAACGTATTGGATTGAATTAACTTTACTTCGTCGATAGCGCTTAAACCACAATAGAATAAATGTAGTCTTTAAAATTCACTTTATTAGTTTACCATAGGGACACTCTGGCGCTAGGTTTATTTAACAGCGTTATGTTTCGTTCATATTATAACTCAGAACGCACAAAATTTATATCATTTAAAGAATTATCTAATCGTTGCCACATGTTTTTTTCAAATACTATAATAAATCTAGAACGGTTATAAAGAAATTAAACAAACAAAACAAAAAGAAAAAGACAGTTTTTTCACAGACGATTCAGTATTTTCATTTAATTAATTCAGTTCTCACTTCGCGAGAAGGACAAAATGCAGAAAAACTCAAAAATATCTATTAAAATTACGAAGTAAATTTAAACGCTTATTTCCTCGAAAAAATTCCAGAAAGAATTAAGCATGATTTTTATTCGCAATAATAAATGAATCGTTATCTTGTTGTTGCGAAGCTAAGTTTTCTCTAGATTGGCAACAAATCCACTAGTCTACTGTTTTTCAAACGTAAACAAGCAAATGGCCGCCATCAAAAAAATTATTAGTCTTAGCGGCACTTAAACATCTTTACAAATTGTTGATAATTAAAAAATATTGCATAGATTTATAAAGGCATAAAAACCTAACCGGAAGATAAGAACAACATTAAGCATTTTTTAAAGCAAAATATGTACAATTTACAAACATATAAGAGTAAAGAAACTGAGATCACTGAGACGCGTAACAGAGTGATATATATATAAAATCTTTATATACGTTTGTGCGGCCGATGCAACCAAATACGAGGTGCATATCTACAGTTAGAGCAGTTCTATATACAAATTTCAACTTTTTAGGCTATCTGTTTTTGAGTTATGCGAGATACATACATGCCTACGTACATGCACCACGAAAAAGTTTCTTCAAAATTCATTTTAAAGCAGTTTTATATTTTTTTTTTTTTTTTTTTTTTTTTTTTTGAGGAAAAGAGTCTTTTATTCTGTCCTTACGTAGAGACGTCACGCAAAAACATCGTTAAATTGCATTCGAAAGCGGTCAAAATGGATATTTTCGTTGAAGTATGTTGCTCGAAAGTTTTCGCTATTACAATACTTCCTTTTTACTTTGTACAAGGAAGAAGAAATATGTTCTGTTTGGAAGTTGTAAACTTGAAATTAAGAAGAGATAAGAAAGTAACTTTAACTCAAAATTTAACTGTTAGATAAATTAACATAATCCTTACAAAGTAAATAAGTAGAACCGGCACGGCAGATGTACTACTCATACTACCAGTTTGTACTACTAGCAAGTCTGATTTTCTGATATCTAGAAAAGTTTCCTACAAATATTGAGTAATATTGTATTTCTTTAATTGTAAAACGCATCTTTTAATTTCTATTAACTTCTTCAGTTTATTAGCGATACTAGTATTCCCTTAAATTAGGAATTTAAAGGATTAATGTGTGATTCGGAAATATCTGATACTTTAAGATGCCATTGATTCCTAAATCCTTCACGACGTTTATATAGGGAAAAACGTGCATTTTATAATAGAAGAAATACGTTACTTTTGATAGACATGTTCAGGCACAAGCGGGCGAGAACGTATTCTTTATAATAACGTAAACTATGCATTTAGGTAATTTCATAACATTAAATTTCTATACTTTGTTAAATATAACTATGTTCTAATGCACCTAAAGCAGTGGTTCTAATACTGACTTTATTTCTGTAACGAAATGAATGCTTGGTTTTGTGAGTCATTTTAAATTTGTATCATAGATATTCCGTTCAAAACACAAATTTTAGTAGAATTAATGTCAGAATTTGTTTATGTTTCAGCTAGCCATGCTATAGAGTGGTTTATACCAAGAAAATTAAAACTGGAATTTTAGCAATATATCCTTAGGCGCGTTTGAACAAAAGCTTTGTCAATATTTATTTATTTTTTCCCTTTGAGAACATACAGACTCCCCGTGCACCACATATGTACAACACGGGACTTACAGAAGTAAGTTAACTAGAACATTAAAGTTAATGTATAAATAAAATAAAAATTCGGCATAAATACAGCGAACAAAGCAGAGAACAGCAGTCTGGACTTCACGAAAACAGATACGTTCACTGGCCAAGTCAATGCGAAAATTTTCAAATCGTTCTTAAGCATAATCTAGGGCCTCAAATGTAGGACACGAGAAATCAAATGTTCACATCCTGAGGAACTCTTTTTGAACATTCATATATTGTTTGATCGTAGATTTAAACGAACAGATAACTTGCTAATTTAAGGCCCAGATAAAACTGGACACTTATAAAATTTAACGAGAGAAAGACCGGAATTCAGTCTATGGTAAATAGAAGGAAGAACTTTTGGTGACTTCAGCATTACAAGATGAAATATATTCCTCATTCACATAGCTAAAGCTTTATATGAAGGTCTTCCATAACTCTTTGCTGCTACTGTTAACAATGGGTAAATTAAGGCATCTTTAGAAGAAATCAGCTCTTTCATTCCGTGAACCATGATGAGCACGCACATAGCAAGCAGATATAATATTCTAATCTAAGTGAACTAACGTTGTAGGGTTATATTTATTTTAACTAATTTATTTTAAGTTAAACTATCTTTCCTGTCAACCTTCTTTCCCGAATGCCAATGCCCAGAGTATGAAATTTAGTAGAACGCGCAAGGATTCAAATTATCAGCGAAGTATCTGAGTTAAATAGAATGGAAACGAGTTCGAGGTGTGTTTCTTACTTCACGAGCGCGGAGGTGTTAGCCAGAAATTGAAGAACCCCGCGTTTTCGGCCTGTTGCTTGTTTATTCGTTTCAACGTGATATTCAAAGTTTGCTGACTTAGCAGCGGTATGTAAAACGCGGTGAGGTTTAGTTACGTTAGAGAGCCTCGTAGTTAGAGCTTGTTATTTTTTTTCAGTTTTTGTTTAGTTTACCGCCGGGTCGGCGTAGTTTGTGAGCGTCAAGAGCACGCAATTGTAATTTCTAAGTTGAATAAAAGGGACTTAAACCCTAGCAGAATCTGTATTTTCCAGTTTCAACAGTACCTCTTGGTTGCGGCAGTTGGAGGCGCGCAAATCTCACAGTTACTAGGTTTCGATAACTAATTTATCGAGCTGGTAATAGTTCAACGTGAAGAGAAAAAGAAATCAAAACAAATAAGGTGTTTGAGGATGTGTGTCCATGATCCTGGATCTTGACGGCAAGATAAATGCACAGAAGTCTCTGAAAAACTGTACATCATTCCTATACGGTGTCTAAGAAAACAATCTCAGAATGGCTTAAAAAAGAAAAATGCAAGGCCACCTTGTTGTTCATCTAGCTGCCATCTGTACAGAAAACCATATGAAACTATTTCAGCAGTCTTTTAATCGCAAAATTTATGGGTTCTAAGAAGCGGGGAGGAAGATCGTGAGGGGACAATTCCATAATACAGTCTCCGAAGCATGAGATGCCAATGACCAAAACTATATTTTTATAGCAATAAAAATCAATAGGCGGAACTCCTGCAAGAACAAAAATAGCCTCATAGCTTAAGGTTCTATAACCACTAATAATACGAAGATTGGCTCCAAAACTCAGCCCAAACTAAAATATTCATTCTCTTATACTCCGTTCATTCTATGTTACATATATATTTTTTATTCTGTTATATATGTTTTATATTCTATGTTATTCTCTATAGCAATCCTTCGAAGATGCTGAAACGAAAAAAGAGACTGAAGAAGCAGAAGTAAAACCTGATCCTCTCAGCCAGTTAGTTGTTGCTTTTTGCCGAAATGCCACAACAGAGCAAAGGTAATAACAGTTCTTTGGCGTATATTGTAAAGCACATTTAAAAACAATTTTCTTGAAAAATGCGCTAATAATTTTGTTAACTTTTATTTATTTTCTAGTGGAAGTATGAATGAAGATGATCTATATATGCACTATGCAGACATTTTCAGTAAGGTAAATTTACAAGACGTTTATAATCAAATCAATATGTTTACATGTATTATTTTTAAAATAATTTGCACGTGTAAGAGAAAATTATTACTTTGCAAGCATTGGGAAAGTCTTTTTCCTTAAAACAAGCAAAATTGTCTAAACTTCTAATTTTGATAGCTTACTTAAAACACGTAAATATCTCAAGTCAATCCGAAAGGGGCCCACCAGCGGCCGAGCGGTAAAATCGCTGAACACTGGTAGTTCGGTCCGAGGTTCGAATCCCGCGAACGGCTGGCCGCCTGGGCGTTTCATAATTTTCCCATGAGTACGTGTATAGAGCCGTTTCCTTAGAAAGCTCACGAAGGCATCCCTTCCCTTAGGCAGATAGCCCTATTATGCTTTGCTGTATTCTCAATACACCACTAATCTGGAAGGTTTCGCATCTAAGGCCTTTAAAGTTAAAGGTGCAAACAGCAATAAAAACGCTGTATTTGTAATAAAAACATTTCAAGTATTTACAGATCTATCTCCTGTTTTCGAAGGCAACTGAAATAAATTCGTATTGGATCTGCAAATGTATAAATATATATATTCATAATTTATATATTCATAATATACATATGTTTATACTCATCATTTATATATTTATATATTCATAATATATATATACTCATCATTTATATATTTACATATTCAGAATATATTATTCACATTTATATCTTTATATATTCTAATATATATAATTCATCATTTCAATAATATAGATTCACAAAAAGATTTTTACATTTCTGTGGTAAAATATAATCAAGAAATCTTTTTTCTGTGCTATTTTAGTGTTAAGATTTAGTATTAATATTTAGTTAGTAATTTGAGAAGTAACACAAATGTGCCAATGTTTTCTAATAAAAGTTTCATATTTTTTATGTTATCATAATTAATTACCATCGAGTTTTGTTTTAACCTAAGATTGTGAATAAGTAAAGCGAACTTTACTTATTCACAATCTTATTATGAGCATCTTTAAAGAAAGCATGTTATGAACAAGTTTACTAGTTAAGTTGCTGAATCTAAAAATCTATATTATTTTCAAAACGCAATTATCTGATATTCAGTTTTTCTGTTTTATATTTTAAAATAGCTTTTTTCAGTTTAACTAAAAAAAAATTAATATCTTTATATTTTCTAAGACTTTTGAAGTTCCATTTTCTCGTTTTCGACGCAGTGTATTTAACAAACCCGACTACAAAGATTATGTTTTTAACCTTATGCCAAAATCCTTATTTTTACATCTTGTTTAAGAAATTAAATATCATTCTTTATAGATGAATCATAGCTTCTAATCAGTATTTTTAGAAGCAATGATCAGTCACAATGAGTTTGTGATTAATTTAGAAAACAACAATATTACGTATGTAATACCAATATACAAGAGGAAATTTATGGCAATCTATTGCATCAGTGAGTTAAGGTATAATTTAGTAAATAAATACAAATATGTCCATTTTTTCTAATGAAAGTTTAATGTTTTGTTTATTATCGTAGTTAATTTGAAAATTGTTCTTTCCTTCTAATTTCATTTTTAAAGCCAACTATGGTTTAACCACTTTTTATATTGTTTTGTAAATATCATTCCTATTTACATAGAATCATGACTACAAAATTCTAATCCTCAGGCAATAAAACATTAATGTTATAGAGCAATTTGTATATTAACTATCACTATACATTTCTCTTTCACGTGTAACGTGTATACGAGCCAGTTTCCATTAGAAAGGCATCCCTCCCCTTAGGCAGATAGCCCTAGTGTGCTTTGCCATAATTAAATACACCAACACCACCATTTCTCTTTCTTTCATTTCGTGGAAGTCAGCTTTTTTATATTTTGCTTAAAGTAATTGGTTATTTATATGAAAAATTGCCAATTAGTACCATTTAATTATGCAAAATATTAATTTCAGAGCTGTGGTGGTGCCGATGAAGAAGAAGAGGAAGAAGGCGGAGATGAAGAAGGTCCATCTATACATGTAAGTTATAAATGATACTGTCATGTAAAGTATTTTCTTTTAAACACTGGCTATGTCGTCGTTTTTCTTGTTTAAATATTTATGCAAAGTTTAGTATTTTTTTTTCCTTTATGGAACTGTACATTTTATCTAGCTTTTTTTTCATGCTGCAATGACGGAAAGAAAAAATTTGCCCACATACTGGTACGTAAAATTGCAGAAACATATATGGTTCTATTCCTTTAATGCAGATATACTACCGTCAAATATGTCATCCTAATGTTTCATTTCATTAAGGTAATTAACTAATTAAGTGCGTTTGTTTTAGATAAATGTGTAAAAGTTAGCATTAGTTTATTACTTTGTAAAGGAAGATATTTAAAAATGTTCTTCAGAGTTAACGTGTTTAAACGCGAGAAATACAGTCAAAAGTCGTTAATTCGGACACCCATAATCCGGAATGATCTATAATCCGGACCTCAAAGCTAAAAACTTTCTGCGCATGCGCCGCGTTGACACATGCGCATAGGCGTTTACGCGTGCGCGTAAAAACCTTTACGACTGCACATATGCATGTGCGCAAAGCGCAGAATACGTTTTCGGGTGCGCGTTTATGTATAACGGACGGTATAAGCTAAAATTATCTAATTATCTATTTCAGTTAATGTTGATGATTGCGTTGTTCCTTAATCATTGAGTTGGATCCGGCTTATATTTTTTGCAGACTGTAAGAGCAATTTATAAAAGTAAGTTTGAACTTTCGATTATGTCAAATAGAGTTTCCGATGCTGGATACTCCCAAAAGGATCTACAAAACGAAAGTATGTTTCGATGTCCGTCAAACAAAAAGTGGAATTGCTGCAAAAAATGGATAAAGACATGAAGAAGGTGACAGAGAGGTTAGTGAAAACGAAAAATTTCGATTGACAAGTTAGTCGGTATTCTCGGCACAGCAATTAACGGGACTTGAACAGCGAAACTTGTAACTGAACAAGAAATTATGTCTGTTTATAGAATTAAAGAGAAAGTATTATCACATAAAATGAAGCAACTTAAACAACTTACATTGAAAAGAAATGTTTAATAAAGTAAACAAATAAATATTAAGTTTCTTTTTTGTAAATTTTGATACCCTTTAGATCATAATTGTTCTTTATTCCATAAATTACGGTTTGATATTTTTAATATTAGAATTTCTGCATGCCATCTTACGAGATTTAAACTGGTGATCTATAATCCGGAAAAATCGATAATCCGGAATCGCCGAAGTCCCGACGAGTCCGGATTATCGACTTTTGACTGTATTTTGAAACATTTTGTAACATGCATCTTTTTCTAAAGCGAAGACCGCTAGCATTTATAGTTGTGTATGGACTGGTCTTCAAAATAACACACATTTGCTAATATCTATCAAGTTTAACGATAAATATACTTTACATTACGATCACTTACATAATTAAATGCGCTTACATTATGATGTTTTTCAATCCAAGGGTCAGACTTTGCTATTTGAAAGTTTTGTAACTTACTTTTGTCAAAGCTGTATAATTTTATTAGTAGTTTTCCGCGTTAGATTCGCACACAAATGTTTTCGTAAGCAGAATATTATTAAACATATTGTTACGTTTTTTATAAATTTCTTTACGTTCGTACGACTCTGCTCAGTCGTTCTTGGATCTCCACGTACTCTAGTGACTCTCCACGCTATAACTCGCGATGCACTCGACGATACACTAGAGCACAGCTCCCGACTCTTCGGTTCAGTCGTTCTCGAAGCTCAACATACTCTAAGATCAAATTCGACGATGCACTAACTCGCGATACATTAAGAGACTCTCTCGGTGCGCTCGAGGACCAACTCGCCACTAGGCAATCACTGACTGAATATCAACTCGATGGCCTCCGCACGGACTGAGCTTTATATAGCTTCTGGCTTGTGTTCGAGAACATTCTGAGCTAGACCAGTAAGAATTCATTCCAGAATTTTCTCCATCCGTCTATCGCATATCGCCAGTTTTGTCGCCAAATGTGCGAGTTCTTGCCAAATGTGGCAACCCTGCCATTCCTTGCTATTTTCTGGCAACCCTAAACCTGCTTTGCGTGGAAGCTATCTTACCGCGCCTGGACTTTTCATTGCAATATAGTTGTAGAGTAACTAAATTTTCTTATTTGAAACAGGAAACATGAAAACTGTGCAGTGCCTTCGTCGGGACTCGAATCTGGACCTTTCGAATATGCGCCGAGTCTGCTACCGTTACACCACAAAGACATGCAGAAAGCAGGAAGAAATGTCTTATATAGTTATCACCGTTTGTAAAAAAAATATTTTTTAAGAAATTTATACCTAAGTTACTTAGATATTATGTGTATTTTTAAATGGAATAACTAATTATTTGTACATCTGACTCATACAATATTTTTCTATTAGGAACAAGAAATGGAGAAACAGAAACTTCTATTCCAGCAGGCTAGACTTGCGGACAGAGGAGTTGCTGAGATGACCTTACTGTATATTTCTGCTTGCAAAGGTATGGAAGATACGAACAATAAAAATTAACTCTTTTCAAAGAACCTTTAAATGCAAGTAACGGCCAAGATGGCAAAACTGTCCTTTCTTTTTAGGGGTTCAAAGCCCTATGACGATGAACACGTTACGGCTTGGAATTTCTATACTGAAAGGAGGAAATGTGGAAATACAGAAGGTAACACTAAGAATTATGTGTTACTTAAAATCACTTTAGTTCTTAAATTCGTCATTTCTTGATATAGCCTTTGTTTGAAACGTAACGAAAGATACATTAATAGGGTGTTTTTAACAACGGATATTATTAAAATAAATACTAAATAAAAAATTATATGAAGTGATACTGTAAAGCATATATATTTATAGTTGCATTAGTAATTTGATAATTATAGATAATTGTTAAACCAAGTCAATCAAATCAATAAGTTTATTTTATTTATACGCGATGCAAGAGTTAACTGACATGGCCATCCATTCAAATTTCCGTTTATGTTTATTAGATTAAATTATTCATTAAACATTAGGTAGCTGCATTTGAAATAGTCGTTGAATGAAGTAAGGTTTCAAATGGTTGCGGAAGAAACCAGTTACTGACGTTTACGCCAACTGAATGAAACAAATTCATTAACGAGCACAGAATACTACTAACATCAATTCGACCATGAAACTCAACCAATTAAGGTTACTACACCTTTACAAATTCAAATTCGAAAATCTTGCAGCGTCTGCAGTATAAAATATAAGTAAAACTCTTGATGGAATAGCAACTCATAAGCGATCCACTCGCGGATTTTTGCAAAATTTCTTTCAGCAGGTTTGAGGTTATAAAATGAACATTGTGTTCTTTGTTCTACCTCTGTTCATTCGAAGGAATTAAAAGGTGTAATCGAATCAGATCCACGGCAAATTATACGGAGATCACCTAGGTACTAAACATACACTTTTGAACTGTTCACCGCTCTTGACAAGTAACAAGAAAAGCAAGGAAGCTCAAAAGTGGCTGCAGAAAATATTGACTGAAGTACATCATTTAGAAGTGTGATCTTCTCTCACTTAAGAAGTATAGAGGAAAGGTGCTTGTAACAAATTGTCACTGCGGATGAAAACTGGATTTTCTACGACAATCCTACACGTTCGTGGAATTTCATGGGAGTGAAAGACGCTCCAGGAATGATCCTAAAGACATCTTTTCATTTAGAGAAGTTGCTGTTTACTGTATGGTGGCCTATCTGTTGGTGTTATTTATTATTCATTTCTTCCAAGAGGTGAAACAAGAAATACGCCTCGAAGTGTACAGCTATGCCACAAATTCATGACAAATTGTGTTTCAAACAACTTCAGAATAATGTCCGAATACATACGGCCGTGACAACCATGCGGCAAATCAACCGTTTGGCATTTGGAATTGTGCCTCATTCTCCACACTTCTCTGATATTTCCCCGACAGATTACCATTTTTTTAACATTTGCCATTTTTCGCCCAAGAAATGTTTTACCGGAGATGCATCAGTTTATCTGGAGGATTTCATCACTTTCAGAGATACAATTTTTACAAACGCGATATGAGTACCCTTGCCACACACTGGCAACAGTGCATTGATGCTTCTGGAGATTAATTTGACCAAATAGATATTCTTTTTCATTTTATTATTTTTCCACTTGCTCCTAGAATCGCCTATTTCATTTGCAGTAACGTTGTATACTTTACTACTCATTATTTCGGAAACGAAACACATATTTTAGGGCTCCTTTTATTCAGTTTATAAAAACAAAATGAGTAAAGTTTCAAAAAGTATTATTTGATACATTTTGCAAGGTTACAGACGAAAACATCGCGGCAAAAGCATCGCGGACGAAAACCTCGCGGAGAAAACAACGCAAGGTGAAAACTTCGTGCTACAAAACATCGTGGGAGAAAACATCGCAGTCCTAAAACATCGTACAAAACATCGTCGTCGAAAATATAGCGGTTCAAAAACTTCGCAGTTTAAAAACATCGTCGTCGAAAATATCATGGTAAATAATAAAGTATCTACAAATCATGGCATGACGATAACATCGCAGACATGCTTTAATAACCGTAAGTGGATATTCCCATAATGATTTGTGAGCGCAAGATGGAAAGAAGGATAATTTTTACTTTCCAATTTTTTATTAACTAATAAATTTTTGCTGAGAAAATAAGAAGGAAACTTAAGCATAGAAAATTAATGCAACTTATAGCACTTAATAGAATTTTAAAACGACATAGTTAACTAACAAAGGCCATTAATAAATCATTTTTTATAAAGTTTTTACTGGTAATTTTTCATGAAAAGTATAATCTATAAGTAGCATTTAATTTTCTATGCTTAAGTTTCCTTCTTACTTTTTCAGCAAAAATTTATTAGTTAATAAAAAAATGTGGAAGTAAAAATTATCCTTCTTTACATCTTGCGCTCACAAATCATTATGGGAATATCCATTTACAATTATTAAAGCCTGAAAAAAGCATGCCTGCGATATTATCATCATGCCATGATTTGTAGATACTTTATATTTTACCACGATATTTTCGACGATGGTGTTTTTAAATTGCGAAGTTTTTGAACCGCTTTATTTTTGACGACGATGCTTTGTACCACGATGTTTTTAGAACTGCGATGTTTTCTCTTTGCGATGTTTTGTACGATGTTTTGTTAGCACGACGTTTTCGCCTTGCGTTGTTTTCTCCGCGACGTTTTTGCCGCGATGTTATCGGCGGACACCATTTTCCAAATATGAAGAAAAAATGCACATTTTTATATAATCACTATTTCATTATTTCCGGATGTGCAATAAATGTAATTTATTTTACTAAAAACGCAATAGGACTCTAATTATTTTGATTTCAGATTTTTGGAAATTGTGTTATATGGATAAGATATTCTTTTATGTAAGTCAAATAAATTTAAAGCTTTTATTAATTTATTAATGTATTCTTTATTTTTTCTTTGATTTAAGTAATGCGAAAATCTAGTGTAGTACTGTGCATACTTTTTAAGAATACATTAATTAGTTGAGTTAGATTAGATCTAATGCGTTATTTGCAAAATAAAGGAAAAGAAACATTTAAAATATACTTTTTTTATTAATTTCAGCATACACAGCAAAAATAAAATTATATATTTTATATTCGGGTTACATAAGTAAAAAATAATTTTTCATTTTCTGCTTAAAAATTGCATAAATTTATCAAGAAAAGAAAAAGGGGAGTATTTAGCATTTTTTTAATATATATAAAGTTATTCTAGTTAAGAACTTCGTTGAAATAAAATACCATAAATAAAGAGATACAATTCATTCGCTTGCATTACAGTAAATATATATTTGTGTGAACATACTGAAGAAACTTTCGTTGTAGTTTCTCTGCACTGAATAAAACCAGAGTAAACAAAATATCATGAAACACTTATTAACAGCCCGTTTGGTAGAATTGGCGTTTTGCTCTATTGAATAAAAATCTAGCTTGAATTTGCTCAATATTAATATTCCTTCGTTTGACAATGGGTTAACCCTATGGGTTATGAAGCAGAAAATTTATATTAATTTTTAATGCCTTTTTCATCCGGTTACATCCAGGAATCCATAACGATCTTTCAGTATATCAAGGGGTTAATTTTGACTGGCATATATTTTATTCTGGAAAAGAATAATTTAAACAGCAGGAAATGCGTAACCACCCGCTGTAGTTGTTTTTATTTCCGATTGCTACAAGGCCAGTATATCTGAGAAGACTTTCCAGGGCTATTATCCGCCAGTATTATTTTTTGTAAATGGCAAGTCAGCGTTGTACCATCGTAATGCGTAACTCTTGCACTGCCATTTTTACTTCCCTGTACGAAGTAAAAAGGAAGTATTGTAATCGCGAAAAGGTTCAGGCAACATATTTCAACGAAAATATCCATTTTGACCGCTATGGAATGCAATTTAACGATGTTTTTGCGTGATATCTATACGTAAGGACAGAATAAAAGACACCTTTCCTCCAAAAAAATTATAAAACTGCTTTAAAATTAATTCTGAAGAGAGTTTTTCGTGGCGTCTGTACGAACGTATGTACGTACGTGCATACGTACGTATCTCGCATAACTCAAAAGCGAGTAGCCTCAGAACGTTGAAATTTTGTATATAGGACTACTATAACATGTAGATGTGCACCTCGTATTTTGGTTTGCAAATCGGCCGCCACCAAACGTATATAAATATATTTATATATATATCCACTCTGTTACCCACTGTTACCCGGCTCAGTGATCTCAGTATCTTTATTTTTATTCTTATATATTTGTAAATTGTACATTTTTTGCTTTAAAAATGATTGAATTATGTTGTTTTTATCTTCCGGTTAATGTTTTTATGCCTTTCGTAATTCTGGAAGCAATATTTGTACAATTATCAACAATTTAAAAGCTGTTTAAGTGCGGTTAATTTTGAAATAACATGGCGGCATATTTGCTTACATTTGAAACAGCAGAATTGTAGATTTGTTGCCAATCTAGAGAGACTAAGCTTCGCAACACAAAAATAACGCCTTCATTTATTATTGCGAATTAAATCATGCTTAATCCTTTCTGGAATTTTTTCGAGGAAATAAGTGTTTAAGATTTACTTCGTAATTTTAATGCAGATACTTTGAGTTTTTATGTATTTTTGCCTTGTCGCGAAGTGAGAGCTGAATTAATTAAATGAGAAATACTCAATCGTCTGTGAAAAACTGTTTCTTTTTTGTTTTGTTTGCTTAATTTCTTTTATACATCATTCCAGCTTTATTATAGTATTTGAATAGAACATGTGGCAACGGTAATTCTTCAAATGATATAAATTTTATGCATTCAGAGTGTTGTTATAGTAAACAAATATAGTGAATTTTAAAGAGTGCATTTATTCTATTGGGGTTTATGCGTTGTTGACGAAGTAGATTTAATTCAATCCAATCAATTTAAATGAAATCCAAGAAAAATCCTTTTCTTCCCCCCTATCTTCCTCTTTTTTTAAAGTCTGGACTCGGTACCTTGTTTTTGTACTTGAATGTACTGGAACCCACTTAGGTTGTCGTTAAGAAACACATTCCATTTATGAAAATTATCCCTGAATTATCCATAAACCTAATTCAGCTTTCATTAAAGAGATTCTTTTTTCTTGCTTTTAATTCAAGTTATTGCTGTAATTGAAGAGAATGCCGCGCAGGACCGATACTTCATAAACCGAAATCCTCTATTCTGGTTCAGATTCGACAAACTGCTTTCCACTCTTTGACCACCATACAGAAATAATAATTTAATCAATTATTTACATGTTCATTAATTGTAGTTGTAATTATAATCCTTCCTTACATTATGTAACGTCTGCTAATGCCATTGCTACGCCGTGTCGGTTCTATTCCGGTGTCAACCCCACATTGTGTCGATCGTGCGAAGACAACTCTGTAATGGTGAGAAACTAGCATTTTCCTCTTGATCATTATTACATCATTACCAAAATTTCTATATTATCCTGCCAATCTATGCGATATTTAGTATTGCTTATATGCCGGTCTGCTCCTATGCAGTTTCGATGCTGTGCCATGTCAGTCCAATACAGTGTCGGTTCTATACAGTGTCGGTTCTATATGGTGTCGGTTGTGTGAATGTAACCCATTATTAGTAAGGTCATTAAGTATGTTTTAGAGCTTTTGAAAATATTCATCAACTACTAAATTCTCTGTCATCGTCTACTTACCGTTAATAAAATAAATTTGCATTCTTGAGAATTTAAATTTGTAATTAATTTGAAACTATTTCTAATTATGGAAAACACAGATTTCATTTCTGTGTTCAGAAACGTACTTAAATTATATACAATTATCTCACTTGCACATTTTCTCCAAATATTACTACAATCCTTTATTCGTACCGAACTTGAAATTATTATTACATCAGTGCTTAATGTTACGTTATTATATCTGTACTTGCTGTCATTTATTCTGCATTTAAAAGTCTGTTTTCGTGTTCATTTAGTGTATGTTGAAGCACTTGAAAGAAAAGAAAGATGTCGGGTTTTTCACGTCAGTTGCAGCTCTAATGAATTCTTGCAGGTAACACACGCTTCAATATTTAGTGTATTATTATGTAAATAAATTTCAAAAATACAAGTGTCCGAAAAGAAATGTGAAACACTGTATAGTTTAAGTATCATTACTAAATAAAAAATTTATATAGCATTCTGACTTTACGTTTTCAACAGTTTGGTATTTTTTTCCTACAAGAGCTTAACGAAAATGTATCGATTTCAGTGTACTGGACCTCGATGCTTTTGAAAGGACTCAGAAAGCTGAGGGTCTTGGTGTTGGCTCGGAAGGAACAGCTGGTGAAAAGAATATGCATGACAAGGACTTTACCTGTGCCCTTTTCCGTTTCCTTCAATTGCTCTGTGAAGGGCATAATCTAGGTATTTACACATTTAAAATTTTCTTTCGTATTATTAGGTTGTGATGTTGCGTGGCCCCAACTTGCCCGCAACAATAGTAGTGACTGCTATGAACTGGAATTACACAAACTCTTAAGAAGGGTTTAACTCCCTTTTTATTCCACTTTAGAAGTTACAGATACACTTGACGCTCACAAACTACGCCGACCCGGCGGTTAAATAAAAATAAGAAAGTACAACTAAAAATGAATAAATAACAAGTCACTACCTACGAGGCTCTATAAACGTGACTAACTTAACCGCGTTTTAAGATACAGCTGAGATTTCAGCAAACTTTCTTAATAAGAAGTTGAAAGATTCAACTAACTGCCGAAGTAGGCTCACAGGCCGAAACGCGCGGTTCTTAAATTTCTACCTAGCAACCTTCACGCTCGTGAATCAAGAAAGCACACCTACAAACTCGTTTCCCTTCTATTTAACTCAAATTACTTCTGCTAAAAATTTGAATACTTTGCGCGTTCTAGTAAAATCCAAGAGCCTCGTTTACATAAAACAAACTGTTTTCTCAAAAATTAGAATAAATTTCTGTAGATACATCATTTTACCCTCTCTTCTTACAGGAACCTTTCCTGGATTTCAGCAATTAATCTTTTCTCTTCCTTCCAGCATCTGGAAGGAATAAGTATCAGTATCTTCTAAATACATTACAATTTACACTTTCTTAACACTGGATAAAGTTTTTGTTTTTGATCGTTCTATTTTCCTTAATTACTGCTTAATTCACATTCATTCAAGTATTCAAAGATGAATTTAACTTTACCCTGGTTCTCCACCATGTGTGGTGTCAAACGGGAATATTCGTGTTTTAGTACTGCAACACTTTCCCTAACCACAATGATTTGTTAGAATTCAGCGACCAAATAGACACACCTTAATCGACATTCTGAAACTCGATGAGCTATGTTTAACATTCTTAAAATTCAAGTGTAGGTGGAGAACTCTACAAAACACATTCATTCTAATTTCCCCCTCATTCATCTTTAGAAGGTTAACTGCTTTGATTACTGCGGGTCTCAGTATATGATGTGATATTGGGTGTTTGGAAGAAACTTACATGACGGAATATCTCTTGAATGACTAGTCATAGATCCTGGTTCCAGACTAAGAAATAAGTCGTATAAGGTAATAATTTCAAACTATGGCAATTGCGGTCAAGCGTCGCCTTTAATTAAATACTTCAATATTTAAATTTTTAAGAGGTCGTTCTACATATAAAGTATTAATTGTTACGTTATTCTTCATCTAATGTATCTTTTAAAAAAAGTATGTAGTAATAATTAAAATTAGCCTTAAAATTGTCAAAATTATAGTACGTTAACTATTTTTTCTCGATGAAAAGAATATGTAAAAACCTTGATTTTAGACGTTACATAAACATTTATTTTCTTAAAAAATTTAAAATTAGTATTTGTTGCAAACGGGAATTTGTAACATATGTTTGTATGTTCACGTTTCTTGTTGTAAAAGAGTTACCTTATAGAGACTTGTGTTTAGAAATGCTTCATTCTATATTCTTTTTGGAGCAATATTATTCCTCGTTCCCCCAAGCAAACATTTGTGATGTAGCCGTTCCTCAATAGACACTAATGCCGGCTAGCTTTAAAAGGATTTATTAACAGAGCACACAGGAACGGTTACAAACAAAAGAAATATACATAAAAATGAAACATATACCAAATGGAACATCAAACAGTTGAATAACAGAGACATAGTAAACTAACATCATGGCGGCTGGAGTTCGACTGACGTTTTTCATATCGCCACGAGATGGCGTTTAAATAAAATAGTTCGGTTACAGTTCATGACATGAATAAAATAGTTCAATTACACTTAAATAGGTCTGTTACATCCTCCCCCTCTGACTTCGTAGACGTCTCGGCAAGAAGTCAGGAACTGACCTTTGTCTACTTTGTGCAGCGGGCGGAGAATCAGATGAATGGGCTCCAGTTTGACGAAAGCAGGAAATTTAGCGTCACCAGCACCTTGTGCAACAGGTGCAGATTCGGGTGGTATTACACGTTTCGGGCGTCCTCTTTTCTTTAAGGGAACCACTGGAGTTACACGAGCTGAGTTTTGAAACTTATTTCGATCTTGATATGGATTCAAGGCTGAAACATGATACTTGCCGAGAATTTTGTCTGGTTCATGAGGATCGGCAATATCATAAGTGGTTGGAGATCTTGTAGTCACTATCACATAAGGACCATCTCTCTTGGGCATGAATTTAGCAGTTTTCTTCAGTGGACCTTTGCTGATTGGGTGGAGGGTGACCCAAACTTTATCTCCAGGAACGAATTTCGGTGTTTCTCTTCGTTTTCTGTCAGCATATCGTTTCTGCTTATCTTGATGCATTTCGACTCTTTCTCGTACCTGTTGTACATTTCTTGCAAAACGTTTCAAATATGGAGTAATTTCGGGAACAAAATTATCGTTCTCAATTACGGCTTTTATATCATGCTTTACATCATCTAAGGTTCGTAACTCTCGTGCAAATTGAAGAAAAGAAGCAGAATGTCCAGTTGAATCACATTTGGCTGTATTCAAAGCAAACCTTATTAATGGCAGTTTATCCTTCCATGACTGATGGTCGTTACCAACAAGTATTGCTAAACGTGGTTTCAGATCTCTATTCTTTCTTTCAACTGGGTTAGATTGTGGGTGATAGACAGGAGTAAGACTTTGATCAATGTTCAAGATATAGCATAGTTGTTGCATAACAGCACTAGTAAACTGGGTACCATTATCACTTATTATTTTCCTGGGTAACCCAAATCGAAGGGCGACTTCCTCCAAAAGAATAGTGGCACATTCTCTGGCCGTGGCTTCCTTTAAAGCAAATAGTTCTGTCCACTTCGTAGCACAGTCCTGCACAATAAAAATCCATTTTTCACCAGACGGTGTTTCAGGAAGGGGACCGAAAAGATCAATTGACAAGGTTTCAAAACGTTGAGCATAGACTGGAATTTGAAGTAAGCCAGATGGCTTTTGATTAGTGGTTTTCTTCCCCCTACTTTGAAGACAGTGTGATATTTGTTAAGCAATGCATCAGTTGCAAGCCGTTGGGCTGTAGTTAATTGCTGTCCTTCATTTTCTCTCGTAGTCGGCAGTTGTTTACAACAACTGGGGTTTCTTCCAGTACTTGGGATTGATGAGGTTTCACGAAGCTATATTTTCTTCGAGGTTCATCAGAAAAGTTCCACTTATTTTCAGCAAGATTTAAAGATTTAAAACAATTTTAGCTTTTTGAAGAAAGTCAGTTCCTAACAGAGTCGAGTTATTTTTGGCATCAGGCAACACAAGGAGCGGAGTTTTGAACTCTCTGCCTTCGAGAAGAATGATTTGTTCGGTGCGAAGTACCTCTTTTTCAGATACCAAACCATCAGCGAAAGACACCTGTAGTGTTGTCTTTTCAAATACTGCATCTTGTTTCTGCAGAATATGATAGAGGGATTCACTTGCAATTGAGTGACTAGCACCAGTGTCGGCGAAAGCTGTACCGGAAACACCACCAATACTAATTGGAAATACAGCAGTCCGAGTGGAAGATAAACAGGATCGGATTTGGATAGTGCCAAAATTTGATGAATTTGAAGTCTTTGGGGGGTTACAGTCTGGAACATTTAGACTTGATAAAACCAGTTTTTCCGCACCCATAGCATGTTAAAGGAGGTCGCTTTTCCTCTGTTTGTTGCTGAACACGATTTGAAAAGGTTTTATGAGTTCCCTGTATGTCACTTGTTCGATTTTCTACTTTGTGTTTGGATGGATTAGTCGGTTTGTAAGAATAGTTCCGCCTGCCAGGAAGTTCAGTTTTATAGTTCGTATTTTTAATTTTTAACACGTACAGCTTCATAATCATCCAATTTCTGTACTAATTCAGATGAACTCTTTATTTTCCCCCCAAGTATCAATAAAATGCTCCTTAACGTCACTACTGACTCTTCTTTTAAGCTGATCCGTCAGGACCAAGTCTTTGAGTGATTCAAAGTCTGTAACATCGAGACTATGAAGCCACTCTTCGAGATAATTGTTTAATTCGTAAGTAAAATCTTTCCATAAAGACCCAGGGTGTTTTTTGGTGTGTAGTAAGTTTAATTCGAAATGATTCAGCATTTAATTTGAATCTTTGTAGCAGAATCTTCTTGATGTAAGAATAATCTTCTAATTTGTCTTTTGGTTCTCTTAAAATAATTTGCGAAATGTCTATAGGCAGAAGAGGTAGGAGATGAGTGATGTAATCTATTTGTTTTATATTAACTTTCTCACATTGTCTTTCAAAAATTTGCAGGTAGGTTGCAATGTCAGAAGTTCCTGTAAATTTAGGGATTAGGTGTTGAATATTTGTTCCAATAGCTGCATTTGAAGCAAAGGCGGCATAGTTAGGGTTTGAGCTAGCAGCTGCCAGGTTTAATTTTAAACGTTCCAATTCTAATAAAAGTTCTTGTTCTTTTCTTTGACGTGTCTCCAGATCGTTGCTTTCACGTTGTTTTTGTTGTCTAGTTTCGATTAAAGTTTCCAGAAGATTCCTGGTAAAAGCCTCATCATAAGTGTCAGAATTGACAATAAGATCTTTAAGATCTATTTATTACTCGCATAGTGTCGTTTACAGTGAAACCCAGTTCTGCAGCGAGAGTTTTTAAATCCTCTTTTCGTGCTTTGGCAAGGTAAGCCATAATTATATGAGAGGTCAGGGGGGAGGGAAAAGATGAAGTTGAATTTGTTGTTATTTCGATTTTATTCACAATACAGTATTTTAGAATTAATAATTATACCTTTAAGTAAAATGTATATACCTCTATTAAACAGCATGTATGAATGTAAACAATGTTACTCGTACATTTAATATACCACTATTAAACAGTATTTATAAATGTAAACAATAATACTCACAAAGTTTATTATTTCGGAGTCGTAAAAATATCATAAAATGCCCTCATAAATTCAACTTGTATCAAGAAAAT